ATATATATATAAAATATGAAGTGCACAGCAAATTTTCTAACGAAAGGATTAACTTTGCCTACCTCCTCTGGTTCCTGTTTAGGAGACGCTTTAACGGAGCCTTTGGATGTGAATGTCTGTATAGAGGGGAAAAAATAAGAACTTTTCATTAGAGATTATTGTTTAGGAAGTTTTTACTTGCAACTGAGAATTAGTTTTGAGAATATTAATGTTCCAAAGTAAAGTAAATATTTCTGATTTTTTTTTTTTCACGTCTGCACTGGTAATTTAATTTCCATTTCAGAAAAAGAAGACTCCCAAGGTAGACATCAAAAGCAGCAGTAATGAATGTAAATGTACCTCTTTGTCTGTCTCAGGAAGCAGAGTTACAAAGTTGTCTGGGAAAACTCCCTCCTTGCCGTTGATCTCTCCTCTCCACCAGCCTGGCTCTCCTGTGTTCTAAAACATCAAAACCATCAATCACTCTGAACATAAATTGCTTATTTTAAAAAATCTACACCTTAAAAGCTTAAATACACATTACTATGAATAGGAAATGCAGACATATCCCTTGCCACTAGATGGTGATCAAGTATAAAACATTTCCAACTTTGATCCGCTTCCTGCTCAAGGCTTTTGCCAAACATTAGCATCAGGTGGGAAAACAATGTCCACATGTCTTAAATGAAGTAAACACATCCTTAGGTTGCTAAGAGAACATAATCCATGGGTAATGAGATGCAACAGCTACAGTATCATACATTTCCAATGTGTCTGCAGACAGCATCAAACATGCACAGTTTCACATCAGAATTCCCATCCGAGAGCTCTGTACTAGCAACAATTGCATTACAGGTCATACATGTTTTTGTAAATGAAGACTATTTTCATCTTAGGGTGATTTTTCCCTTTAAACTGTGATTTAACCCATGCATCAGATGTTAATATTCTTCATGATTACACTGTAATTCTAATATGAACCATGACTCTACATCTCTGGTATAATTTGCAGAAATGTGGACTAACTGCCTAAGCTTGTTTTTAATCAGGTAGTGTTTTCACACCCCAGACTAAACTACAGAGCAGGATATAGACTAACTAGTCTAAATGAAGAGAGTAAAAGTGATTGGTTCACAGGTTTTTGTAAGAGACGGAGCACTTCCTGCCTTATTATTAATGTAGATACCAAAGTTTACACTGCTCCCTGATGGCTAAAGGTCTTACTCCTTGTTTATTCAACAACCAGTATGCAATATTTGCAGAATGCAGTATAGTATAGGGCAATATTTGGCTGAGAAACAATAATTTGAAAATCTGGAATCTGGGGAAAAAAAAAAAAAAGGTCAAAATATTGAGAAAATTGCCTTTAAAGTTGCCCAAATGAAGTTCTTAGCAATGCATATTACTAATCAAAGATTACACTTTGATATATTTATGGTAGGACATTCTCATGGAACATGATCTTTACTTAAAGGCACAATATGAAAGATTTTTTTATTAAAATATCCAAAAATCACTAGAACAGTGTTATATATTCTGCTGACTTGTGTACTTACATTATCCCAAATGTTTTGAAGAATGTTTAAATCCAGAGAAATAGCAATTTTAAATAGTGACTCGTCCCTGGTCATTGCGTCGCCTGCCAATGATGTCATAGACCCTCGATTTCCGGTTTTGTTTTGTAGAAAACATGGAAACACCAAAGACGCTTTAATATGTTATGCGTTTTATTACACAGGCGGCGACCGTACAGAGTAGCATTATAACAACTTTCAAATGTATCTAGTATGATAAAACAGCGATGCTTTACCCCACATACGCACGACCTGAAGGAGCGGAAGCGGTCGACTGTGGCATAATAAAAGCTCCGCTGCTTTCGAGCCGTGTGTCACTTTAACCCATTAAAATATGAATAGCGCTCTGCGCGAGGGCGTGATCATTAGAGATAATGAGCTGAGACAGGAGAAACCTGTACATGTCTTTACTTTCACGCTTATTACAAAATTAAACTGAACAAAATTACAATGTTCTCAGTTCGTCGATGTGCCCACGTTAAGCGGTTTTCTTATAATGGACTCCAATGGGGGAGAACGCTTAAGGTGATATTATTCACTTTACACGCTGAATAAGAGCTCGTTCTTTTGACAGTAGCAAGTGTTTATTATAAGTCAAATTTGACAGAAGTTGGGTTTTAATCGGTCATTGTTAAGGTACGTTAAACCACGCAAAGCTGTTTCCTTATAATGGACTTCTATGGGGGAGAACACTTAACGTGATATTATTCACTTTATATGCTGAATAAGAGCTTGTTCTTTTGACAGCAGCAAGTATTTATTATAAGTAAAATTTGACGGAAGTTTGATTTTCACCGGTTGTTGTTAAGGTACGTTAAACTACGTTAAGCTGTTTCCATATAATGGACTTCTATGGGGGAGAAAACGCTTAACGTGATATTATTCACTTGATCTGTGGAGTAAGGACTCATTCTTTTGACAGTAGTTAGTGTTTATTACAAGTAAGTTTTGACAAAAATTTGGGTTTCCCTGGTTGTTGTTTACGTACGTTAAGCCACGTTAAGCATTTTTCACGTTAAGCGTTTTAGAATGTCCCCGTGACAGACAACTAGTTGTCCAGTCCTGTTCCGTTCACACAGCGCGTGTGTTCCGAGAATGCGGTTGTGAATCCTGAAAATGTACAGGTGTGTGTTCGGTTACAGAATGCGGTTGTCACACCCGTAAATAACGAAACTGTGTGAACGTAACCGTATTAAGGACTCAAATAGAGGACTGACAACCGTATTCTGCTGCTGTGTGAACGTGGCCTATGTAATTTAATCATTTTTAAAAATACTTTTGGACAAATTCATTGCTACATTTTAATAGACACAAACATGTTTTATTTGTTTTCAGATGTTCAATGTTTGTCATCTGGCAGATTTTCTTTTTTTATAACTTTACATTACATAATGTAACTTATTAAATAATAGCTTTCATGCTTAATGTTCCTATTGTGGATGCTTCCTGAATATGTGTTGTTTATTTGGAGATCTCTGTTGTTAGGAAGACATTTGCTCCCCCTGTTCCATACCTTGCTCAGTATGTGGATGATGTCACCCTCCTTTAAATCCAGCTCATCTTGGTTAGTTGCTTCAAAGGGGAATTTGGCCTTGCAATATTCTTTTACTGTAGAGAGACAAGAAAAAAAGACGATATATGTATGCTACACCTTGATTTGTCTTATGTAGCTACTACTGACTTTGTACAAAAAACTTTAGGTTGAGGAGTGTAACTAGTAAACACAAGATGCAAGTACACTTTCAATACTAACAGAAAGACATACTAATCTATAATTTGGGTTTAGCTAATAACCAAGAGGAAGAAAAACAATGTCAGTCAGTCATAATCAGGGCAGTCAGTATCAGCCGTTCAGTCTGGTGCATTTCCATAAATCTCCCGTCATTATTTCGGTTATCACATACAGGTTGATACTTTATGTCAACCTTCCCATGAACTCACCTTTTCCTTTGCTCTCTGCCTCTTTTTCTCCTTTAGGGGGTTCAGGGGTGCTCAAAGGGGTGGGTTTTGTGGCTGATGGTAATGACGGAATTGGCTAAAATGAAGAAGAACCACAAATGGATTTACTGACACGGCAGCCACACAAACACATGCAGTTGCACACTGGAAGGTAGAGACTTTGAGACAGGTCAGCCATGCCTGGATGAAAGGAATGCTGGGCAAACAATCACCACTCTTACATATGCACAGATTCAATGGGAGCGGATGCCGCATTTAGACTTTTAAAAAAAAATTTTTTATCCAAAACAGACTAAGAATCTATAACTATTTAGTAAATCATCTGACATCACATGATGACATGTTATAAATGAACTTTGAGCTCTTGATATGAGATGTAGTGGACGATTCAACTGAACTGAATGACATAATGGGATGCAAAATGTGACAAAAAGGGAGAAAGGAAGTATTGGTTAAATGCATTAATGACAAAGCATAACATGGAAGGTCATTTGTGGCAAATTTAACAACTATAACATGATATACACTAACATTTAAAAGTTTGGGATCAGTTTTTATCTTTTATTCAACAAGCATGCATTAAAATAACCAAAACTGACAGTAAAGATTTATAATATCACAAAAGATTTCCATTTTAAATAGATGCTGCTCCTTTGACTGTTTTCAATATTGATCATAAAAAGGAATGCTTCTTGAACACCAAATCAGCATATAAGAATGCTTTCTAAAGGATCATGTGATACTGAAGACTGTAGTATTGGCTGCTGAAATAAATGACATTAAAAAAAAACTGCAATAACATTTCACAATTTTACTGCTTTTACTGTATTTTTGAGCAAATCAACACAGCCTAGGTGAGTGAAAGGGAGTTCTTTTAAAAACATTTAAAAATGCTAACGATCCCATATTTTTGAATGGTAGTGTACTACTAAGTGAAACAGAAAATTCAGGGAGAAATATAGGATGGGGATGATTCTAACCAAGCTACATCTCCACTAATCATGTGCTTTGAAATTATTGTTATTAATAATATCTATATTAGGGATTTCCAAACGTTTTAATGAAAAATAACCCCCAAATATAAAGACAAACATATTCATTCATTCATTTATATATATATATTGTATATATATATATATATATA